TATATGATGTTTACAGTATATGTCACCGATTTTCTACATTTCTACTACACATATCGGGTACCTGATATGTGTAGTATTGTTAAATATCATACACATATATCACATATATTATACACATATCAGGTACCCGATATGTACCCGATAGTATTGATTTTGACCAGTGTTATAATACCAAACTAATAGTTAAAAAATTTCAACATGTAATTTAAATACAGAAATTTTAATAAAATCATATATACATCTTGGTAAAAGAGTATTTATTTCTCAAATAATATTTGTTATTCTAATTAGTATATCATTAATTTCCAACCTTCACTACAATAATAATCAATAAAACTCAATAATATAATAGAATTAAATTTATATAATATTGTATTTGCTCATGGCAATTATATACACATACGTCAAATGACCAAAAACAGGCAAAAAAAATGGCTAGAATTGCATAAACTATTCGCAAATTTATATAAACTATTTACAAATAGTATAGATTAATTCGCAAATAGAAAAAATAGCCAAGAATAGCCAAGAATAGCCACTGCTTTTCGCGCCATTTTTTTTGCTGATTTTTAGCATTTCAACCTGTGATAGTATTATTAAGAGTTCAATTAGTAAAAAAATATTAATAGATGAAATATATATATACAAAAAATATTGTATATAATAAAATTCTTATTCTTTATATTTATAAAAATTTTTTACTTCAAATCACCGGGAGTAATTATCACCATTGGTTAGAATTATTAATTTTTACCAGCATTATATTTTTTTAATACCAGTCAATCATCATAATTTCAGTCACCAGTGATTATCACTCCAGTTAGAAAAATTCTTTATAAAAATAAAAAGTAATTTATTTTATATATTTGATATGATTTATATATAAAATATTATTTGGATTACTTTTAGTATAATTTATTATGCAAAATATTATCTGAACTGCGAAGCAATTCAGATAATATTTTGCATAATAAATTATACTAACAAAAATTAATTTCACCAATTATATTAGTAGGAAATATAGTTTTTAAAGTTAAGCTTAGAGTTAAAGTTAAAGTTAAGGTTAGAGTTAGGGTTAGGGTTAGTGTTAGGTTAGGGTTAGAAGTAGGGTTAGGATTAGAATTAAGGTTAGGGTTAGAATTAGAGTTAGTATTATATTAGGGTTAGAATTAATTTTAGTTAGGTCTAAGGAAAGTAAGTAAAGTAAGTTTATTACTAGGGTTAGGATTTTAGTATGATGATTAGAATTAAATTGTTTAAAAATTGATCATAATATTAAATTTATATAATAGAAAAATAATAGGGTTTACAATTCAGATTATAATAGTGAATTAATAATATTAAGCTTATATAAATTGAATTTAAAAATATATTCTTATAATTTATTTATAATAAAATATTTAATTTAATTTTATAATTATTCTTTATAAATTATACCTTAAAATTTCATCAATGTTAGCAAACCCAGGGCAATGCCTAGGCCTACGGGCTAGTTAATCAAATGTTCCTGAATTTCAGTTGCACCATGTGGATATGGTAACTCTTTCATACTGAGAAGTACTTCATTTGGCTCAAAATCAGATGTTATCCAATGAGCTGTAACATCTAGATAAGACAAATGTGCTGGTAAACTCCAGGCATCTAATGTCAAGGAAATATATTTCACTTGTACCAGTTGATTTTTAAGTGTAATTTCCTATTTCAAATGTTTTTGAAATCCTATTTTTAATGGTTTTAGTGCAAGGAACCTTATAACGCTTATTAAATCCATTTATCATTTTAATAAAATCTGGATCTTTTACAACATTTAAAGGTTATACTATTCCAATAACAAATCCTATGATATTTTGAGTTAGAGATTCTTGTTTAGAATGTTTATATGGTTTAATAGAAGATTCAGGAGGATTTTTTAATTCTTCTTCATCATGTTTCATAGCAATCTCTTTGGTAATACCATGTGCATCTGACAAATGTGTTGCTAATGAGCTTGAAGAACCACATCATGTGAGCATTTTTTCACAACCACATCAGAAAATTTGTTTAGACGTAATTTAGTGTAATATTTCGGAGGTGATGTAAAATTTCGAAATATTACACTAAATTACGCCTAAACAAATTTCCTGATGCACTAATTTGACATACAGCCTTGGTATTATTTTTATTGAACTCAAAAAACTGCCATACCCAGCTTATTTTTGGTCTTCTAATTTTAGTTGATGCTTTTTGCTGTTTTGATTGTTTGCTAATTTCTAAATATTCTATATTAGAAATATTAGCAGATAGTGTAGTGATATCTTGCAATAACACATGACTATCTTTGGCTTCATAATCAGGATCATTTTCACTTTTTTCTATTGTTAAATGACTGGTTTCAACCTCATAAACTGAGTCATCTTCACTCTCTTCTATTACATCTTATGCTAAATTTTCTTTCTCTACTACTGCTTCTTTGGCCATCTGTTCCATTTGTTTATGTTTACTTTGTCATTTTTTTTAAAAAAAAGGTTTATAGTATAGGAATTTTTACGGTATTGGCAGAAATAAAAGATAAATGATCGGCATTATATAATCTGATTAAAACTTATTTTTCGGTGTAACAGATAAATTTGATGATGATCATTTAATAAACTACTTTTATTATCAATACTGCGCTACAATAAACAATTTCGATTTTTGTTCAATAATCGATTTAAAATCAATTCTTATCGATTTTCAATAAATTCGATTATTGTAAAATCAATTCCAATCTCTAGCTGAGGTGATGCAAAATTAAAGTTATCAATCCCTTTGAAACTATTTCAGAATTTCAAGTACCGTATTTTGCGGACTACAGTACCTACAGTACCCTACAAAAAAGAATTTCCATTTTTTACCGATTTTATTATTTAAAATAATTTAATAAATATCTAGGTATTATAGGAGAAGTAGAAAGTGAGTAACGTAGATTAACTAATTGAGTAACATAAGGTCACATAAATTTTTTAATCTACATTACTCCCATATATAAGACATGGGACGTAAGATGAACTTTATCCACCTTACGTTACTTTTCTTATATATTATACAAGTAATATATAAAGAATTTATATTACTTACTTTATTAAATCACATGATATAATTTTTATATTTATTTAACGATCTTAATGTTATCTTTATATGAAAAAAAATTACAAATATATGTGTTTATATTTTTTTATTAAGTATTTCGTACAATATCTTTTTTACAATATTTTAATTTTTTAATAAAGCTATTATTACCACTATATTATATTATTTAATTTTCTCCTAATTCTAATAACTCTTTCTTTAAAGATAACCTTTCCTTTAAAATCTTATTTCTCTCTTTTTCAAATTCAAGAATAATTTTTTGTTGTTGTCCGTTGGGCAAATTTGATTCTTCCAAAGCATTTCGAGAATCATAACTATTATCAATATTTGAAATGGTTGTTTTTTGTTTCTTTGTCATTCTGTTAGTTTTCTTTGTAGTATTAGATTTTCTTTTTTCTATTTAAATAATATAACATATTTAATTAATTGTTTCTATTTTAAATAAAAATTATTATTACATATAGAAATTGTTAAATATATATACGCAATCTTTTTTTAGAATTTTCCATTCTTTTTAATGAAGATTTATTCTTGTAAGTTTTAGAAACATTATAAGTTTGAATAATATAACTAGTTGTCCATTATATTTTATTATATGATTGTGCACTATACATTGATATAAGTTTTTAGAATTAAAAAAAAGAATTTTGTGTACTGAGCTACAAATTTCTTTAATTAATAAATATTTTACCTATAAATTGCTCCAAGAAGTGATAAGGATATACCATCTCTATTGACATTTTCATATGCTGATTCACTAACATTTGTGTCAAATCTTATAAAATTCCAAGTTTTTATAGGCATTAATGTAAATGCCCTGGAAATACCTGCCAAAACCCATTTTTTGCTTTTGTCATTCACCCAGTCTAATAATTAAATTATAAAAATCAATAATTATTATCAATAATAACTGGTTAGATGAATATAAATAAAATATTATATACCAATTGCTTGTTTATTTTGTGTGAGCTTTATTTGTTCAAGCACATTCAGTACTTCAGCTTTTGTTTCAAGATGTGGTATAGCATACATTATCTTTTTAATTTCAGTTGGTATTTCAGATTTTTGTCTGATATTTCTATGAAAATAATCAATATAAGATACATGTTAAATATTTATGATAAAATAATAAATTAAGCAAACCAATATTTTACCTGTTAAAGTGAATTAAACAGATTTTTATAAATATGTTTCAAATGCTCAATAGCAGATAAATAAGGATATCTGTTATTCAAATATTGTCTCAAGCCTAAATATATCATAATTTAATAACCAAATAATTTTCAGAAAAATCAAACAATTAAAAATGAAATACCTAAAGCTTATCCTGAATGTACATCTGCTAATATACATTCTATTTCTTTACCATCAATATAATGAAACCAGATTTCACTATTTATGTTTTCCTTCACAACTGAAAACACAGCTGCAAACATATTTTGATATGCGTCTGTGCTTTCATTGTTTGTAAAAACTTTTGCAAATGTCAAAGTTATAGAATAAATGAAATAATAGTATTGAATTTTCAGATAAATTGGATCAGAGTTTAATATTTTAGATGTAAATTAAAATATAAATCAAATTTTTGCATATAAAATTGAATTATTGATGATTAGTTTAATTATTGTCCGGAGCGAAGCGTAGGACAATATATGTCTACGCACTATGAAAAAAAAATCGATCACGTGAGTTTCTCTGTCCGCTACGTGATCGTCACCCAATGAAATCGGCAAATTTTAGTTTTTCGTTCCGGACTTACAACAGTTCCCGTTTTCTAGTTAAATATTATACAGTATATTAAGTTTAAACAAAATTTAAAAAAGTTACATATTTTTCTGAAAATTTTCAACATAAACAACTGACTCCCATTCTTTGATTTCTCCTTGAATTCTTTTAAATGCTATATCAATTTCAAAATAGGATAAATCTAATAATGCAAAAGATTGCTCTTTTCTTATACAAAGAACAAGTATTTGTTCATTTTGGAAAATTTTAAGGATTATTTAATAGTGTTTATTAATACACTGATTTTAATTAACTTAATAAATAAACCATAAAATGTCAAAATAAAAATACCTATTTTACGTATATAAGTATTATCCAGATCTTTATTTTTTATAAATTTATGTACAGTACTTATTATTTAATATCAATATAAATAAAAATTAATACTCTAATAAATTTATAATACTTAAGTTTTAATATTTCAAATAAATACCTAGAATGTTTTGTCTATGTGGATGCTTTGATCTTTTTTTTTTTGCAATTAAATAATTAATTTTTGATTGATTATTTAAGCTTGGATAAATGGAATTCAAGGATAAGTCATTTAAATATATTAGCAGTATTGGTTCTAATATTTTTTAAAAAATAAAAAATAAAAAAATAAAATAAGTTTGAAAAATATATTATCACAAAATATTTATTTAAAAAAAACTTACTAGTCAAAAACTTTCTAGCTGTAAAATTTGACAAATTTTCATTATTTATAATAGATTGTAAATCTTTAACCAAATTTATTGGTATTTTAACAGGTGGAGGAGGAGGATGTGCATATATGCCCTTGAAAATTATCACAATATAGAAGCATTTTTTTAGATTTAATGGAGTTATATAATAGAATCTAACTTGACATGGTTTATGTATAATTAAACCACTATCAGTAATTGTATTGTTAGAAAATCTATATAGAAAATCTAGCACAAGATGAAAAATACAAATAGAAATAAAAGTATTTAACAGTTATATTCAATATCATTATTAAAACAAATAATAGCAATTAAAATTTTTTACAGCATTTTTTATTTTTTGAGTTATATGAAAGCACAGTATAACAGCTATCAAGAGTTGTATTTGATGTAGAATCCTAATAAATAAATATAAATTGATAAGCAATAGAAATATAGAATAAATAAAAGAATTTAATCTGACATGTTAATCATATTTCAATATATAAATGTATAAATAAATATATACTATATACCTCTTCTGTAGAATTGGCATAAAAGTTGTAATTTTGGAATAATTCTTTTAAGCGCTCATTATATTTAAATACCTATTCTCCTTTTTTCTATCCATTACATCTGATAAAATATTTTGTTGAACTACCTTCGCTAAGCTATAATATATTTAATTGATTTAATGTAAAATCAAAAAATTTAATTATAAAAAATTATTTATTTATAGACAATTATTATACATACTACTTTATGTCTGCAAGTCTTTGGACTTCTACTACAATTTATAAACTGATAAGAAGTTTTAGAACATATTACAAAAAAATTACAAGTATTATTTTATTATTAGTTTCAGTGCATTCAAATTTATAGGCTTACAAAATCTAAAGAACCTAAAGGCAAATGACTTACTTGATTATATACTTTTCAATTGAATGTTCATAAATATTGTATATATTCTTATAGGTATTGGTTTCAAAATTTACTGAATCATGTGAAGAATTTAATTCTTCAGCAGAATGGAAACACATTTTAACCATATAACATTTTCTCATATTCTTCATGGCTTTTATTTCAAGAAATTCACATTCAAATTCATATGCTGTCCCACTTTTGCTATCCATTAGTCCATTACATATTGAATATTTTAAGGCTAAAAAATTCTCTTGCCTTTTTATGATCAAATGCAGATACACTATAAACATAAGCTACTCCATCTTCTGAGGTTCTAGGATATTTTGCAATTCTAAATAAAATTCTATATCATTTACTATTAAGTTTTTCCCAAAATCTCCAATAGTTAGATTATTCTAATTGTGATATAAAAATTTTTAATTAACTAATAATGTCACAATGTTACGCTTCATTCAATACTTAAAAATATAGTTACCTCAAATTTATTCATAGAGTTTTGTCCTTTTCATTATCAGATAACTGAAAATCAGATTCCACTGTATTAGTTGTATTATCAGAGTCATAAATAGTTTCCATTTTTTGCAAAGATACAATTTAAAATAGCAAAAACAATATTGTTTATAAAATAATAATTTGATTTTTGCAGAAAAACTATTGTATTACACTATTTACAAGAATTTATTATATCTATTATATTGAAAATTGTGAGTCAAATATGTCAAACATGAAAGTTTAACACAAATACAAAAAAATTTAGGTAAAAAATAAAAAGTCAGGTCAATTTTTTGTTGAGATGACATGGTCAACATGTATATTATTGGATATTCAAGCCATGATTATATAGTAATAAATAATTATAACATGTTATATTGTTATTAATATATTTTATTTATGGATTTATGTAATACAATTGAAAATAGTAAAGTAATTAAAAATTTATATTACATTTCATACCTTTTAAGAGGAAGTAACGTAAACAAAATGTGTGACATTATGCTATTCACTTAACCATCTTACATTACTTACTTTCTATATACTCAGTATTATGCATGATAAATACCCAATTATTAAATAAGTTTTATACATATCTACTAATAATAAAAACTCATGTCAAAATCTCTAAAATCTGTATTATACCTGGGGTATTGTTAATAATTAATTCTGAATCAGGTTTGACTTTAAAAGTACTAAGCCCTTTTTCTTCACATTTCTCAGAAAAAGATAAATAGAATACTTTGTTTTTTGGCTTCAAATTTATAAGAAGGTTGGCTTCCATGCATACACTTCTAATAATTGCCATAGCTTATATCCAGTTTCTTTTTTTATATTTTTTGTATAAGCTGAACCAAATCCTATCTGTCAAAACATTTGATAATCCAGTTAATTTGGCATGTCAATCCAAGTATTCAGGAGTTAATATTTTATCAGTCTTAGTCATGTTACCTTTTTATATAATTGCAAATCAATTTAATTAAATACAGTAGTAGTTGACATAAATTAACCCTGTAAAAAAAATATCATAAAATGAAGTGTAAACAAATATAGTATTGAGTCTATGCAGTTATTTCAATTTCATGCTGTTCACATTTATATCTACCTTCTATGCTTTCTTCATCACCATGATTTTACTTGCATAATGGACATAATGTCTTGTCAGTAATACCAAAATAATCAAAATTTTCATTACTAAATTCTTCTATATAAATTGGGATATTGATCCAATATCTTGTTGCAAAAATAGAAGTGATTATAAGTTGGCTTAAATTGGACTTATACTTTTGATACACTAGTCTAATTGGTTTTTGAAGTCCAAAATGTGGATGGAATGCTTCCCAATTTCAAGTTGAAATAGCTACAGGTGAGCATGATGAATCCTGTGATGGGAAATGAAAAAATTATATCATTACATTCAGAATATGGCCTTAGTTCTGAAACATCAATATCTCTGACATCTTTCTCTTCAAGACTTTTAAGTATTTTATATCCAAGGATTCTAAGATTGGTAAAAAAGGACAATAACACACTAATTTGCTCTGAACCTGACATGTTTGATATAGTAGTCTTGCTAATACCTTTTGTCAACATAATCTACTTCATTTTTATAGCACCAGACAAATGTCCAGTCACCAGATTTTCACCTGCAATTACACACTCCCTCTACAAATCAATAAAAATGATTTCATGATTAGCATACATATCCTCAACCCTATATGCAAAATATTGATTGCTCCCAAAAAACTACATATATTTGAATATTGTTTTGTTAGTATATTACTAGCGTGAAGGAAGATGCTTTTTTAGAAATTTTTGTTAGGCGAATATATATGTGATTCTCACGTCACATCGCACAGCCTCCGGATCTGGTTTAGTTTCACAATAGTCTTGAAATCAGAGGATTTGGTAGACGTGCTTGAGACACTTACTTTATTTTTGGTGGTTTCTGATCGTTACAAGACACACAACACGAAAAATATCACGAATTCTTTCATGGAGGCAATCCCAATAATTTCATTAAATAAGAAAGAATTATGCGAAGAAAACTAAGGTATGTTTGGTATTATGAAAACCCACATGTAGTTATTCCAGGGCATTAGGTCTTATTAAGTAAACTTGAAAATTTTAAAAATGCTTTATGATCATTACATACACATTTCCTTTTATTTTTCCGATATATACACCACTGGTTAGAAAATTATGAGCCCAAAATTTATTTAATTCAATATGAATACATATACTAGCTATACTACGCCATTATTTATGTTAAAAAAATATCTGAATTGGTTCTTTAGACACTGCTTTCTCTTCCGCTAATTTTTTCGTGTTTTACAAAACTATCAAAAAATCTCAAAAATGAACATTATACAGTAATAGGTAATTTGTTATAGAAGATAAAAAAAGATTAAAAGAAAATGGAGATAGTGAATTTGAATATTCATACAGCTTGTAGTGATTGTTGTATGTTGTTGAAAATATCATTTTGAAGATATATATATATATATATATATGGTTTCCTGCATGGTTTATAATGGGGAATATTATTTAATACGTCGTAACCGATTACATCATTTGTGACACCATCATGAATGAATCTCGTTTTAACCCAACCAGACCTTTGTCCCATCACAAATGACCCAGTCTCTTGAGGCCTTAAAAATTTTTACGTCAGCATTTACTAGCACTTACATTCCAACCATCTTGAGCATTAAGTTTTTTTCTTACAAAATCTGGGATTACAGTTGTTGTTGCGCCTGTGTCAATTATCATTCGGAAACCTTGCTCTACATTCGCCATTCCCGCCTCATCCAGGTTATCATCTGTATTTCGAAGACGAATATGCACCTATATTTGGCAAAGGAAATCCAAATGATGTCGTTCTTATTAGGGCATTGACAGTATAAAATATCAACTAACACCTGTCAATGGCCTTATAATCCATAAATTATAAATAGTACGAACCTGCCACTCTTTCTCTGCACCTGCATTTGTATTAGCATCAGACGCTGAAAATCTACGTAATTCGACAATACGTTCTTTAACAGGTACATAATAACATCCCGGATAATCCACCCTCATTTTCTTTTCCTCTTCGCTTGATCCGTATCTGACAAATTTCCCATGAACGATTAATACATATTCACGCGATTGATCAAGAGAGCCGGAATCGAGTAAACGGCGATATTCAAGTGCATTTACGGCGAGTTCACTCCCGATTGGCTCCCAATAAGGATCGACGACATAATCAAAAATTAAGCGACGCTCATTAATGTCTGGGGGTTGAGGCCAAACGAAATCTGAGCCAGCGAAGTCTAAAGGATATGTTGCTTTTAAATAAGTTGTATAGTGATATTTTCAAACCAATCAAGCTGGACAGACTTGTTACGCACCATAAAATTTCTTCCACTCCTCTTTATTTTTTGTGAATTTATCGAGTCCCAATTTTACTGCGAAATCTTTAACGTTTGTTGTTTCTGACTTTTGTTTCTCATCCTCGAGGTCAGATGATTCCTTCAAACCAGCAAACTTTTTTTCGAGATCAAACTCTTCAGACGTACACAAGAAATTAGAATATAGTAAAAAGGGTATAAATATCTATATATGAAAGTACGAACCAGAAACGATATTTCTAATTGACAGTGATGGGTCATCCGATTCTCCAAGTCCGTAAAGCTGACACATTTTTGGGGATGTCCAATCCGAGAAAGCTTTTGAGGGAGTCTCTATGGACACGACAAGCCTGAAATTGTTCTTCGATACGAACTGCCGGAGCATTTTTCTGAAGTCATGATCGTTCCGAGGCGAGTATCTCTTTACTTCGTACGTAAAGTTTAGCACCGCTCCGTCATTTTCAAGTGCTGGCAACCCAAGGTTCATTTCACGTATGGAATTTTTGAGGCCTTCAAGGGTCGCTTCTTCTATGTTTACGATCCACTTAAATCCATTCGTTCGTCTCGGACTAACGATGACATCGAACTCTACAAAGCAAGCAATGATTAGCCTAGCCCCAACGAAGTTTTCAACTCTTTCCTCAACTATACATACCATATTCAGACTTGTTGAGTAATGCCTGCAACGAGGCGACTTCCTCTCTTAATTTCAACACCTCGTCAGAAGTGGCAGTGGTCTCTGGCGGAGAGACTAAGACATGAATATGTTCTTCGGGAAGTGAGTCAGGGAAGTATTTCGAAATCTTTCTTATTGCTAACAGCTCTTCACTGTCCTCGAGTGAAAGATTGCTTAAGGGATCGACATGATCGTCAGAGATTGGCACTTTCCATAGCTTGAGTTCGTCTGCAGGAATATTATCGAACACTGGTGACTTTTTTGCCTTAATAGCGTCCTTGAGGTGGCTAACCAACTTCCCACTATCAATATCAACAGCGAAGGCGTTTGCGGTCTTATTTCCTTTGAGGAGGCAAAGTAAAGTGATAGTCATTGTTTTCGGCTTTTATAGTATTTTTTGTGAAATATTATTGGTGCAAACTAGCGTAAGTGAGGACAAGGATAAAAAAGAATTTTAAAAAAAATACTGAGGCAGACTTATATGTGAGAAATTATTATGTTTCACCAATCAGCCTTATTACAATATGAAACATTTCTTATAATATATTTTAGTTTTATTAATTACTTACCACTTTTAGTATTATTATTGCTTTTGACTCATAATATTCAATCGGTTCAATTATTATATTAGTAAAATTGCTTTATTAGTTAGTTAAAGAAGTTTCTTGAGATTTTTTTTTTTTTTACAAGGTAGTGCAATTTGTATGTTTATTGATTATATGTAAGAGTGTAGAATAACTGTTATATAATTAATTTATTAAAACTTCAAACTAGTTCGATTGCTCCTGTACTTTACCATCACATGAAATTCACCTGTATCCTTCAATAATGATTATATAGAAAACAAGTACAGTATGTAATCCTATGTATGTATGTATGGTGGTCAATGTATGGTATATATTTTCATATGGTATAGTTATTACAATAGTAATATACTATATATAGGCCACCATACATCTATACATACATATATAGGATTCTATATTGTACTTGTTTTTATCACCCCCATTTTTCTTGTGATAAAAATTCTTAAATATTTGATTACATTTATATATAGTATTATTGGCTATAGTTGTTCATTTGTTTTTAAGCTGTTGACAATATATTATATATTTATCATCTTCATTTTTTTCAAGACAAAACCTACACTTTACATCACCATATAAGTTATATCTTCTTTTTTTTCATGATTTCCAATATTGGAAGCAGATAATTTAGAAGTTTCAAGTGTTTAATAAATCTGTTATTTATTAGTGATATTATGCAATTAAATCCTATACTTTTCTTGAATATTGTCCAAATGATTTATTCTTCTATTATATCAGTTGTATCTGAAAAGATTAATCTGTGCATGCAATTTAAAAACTATACTGCATCTAATAATGTAGACTTACATAGATTATCTATGAATTTTCTAATATGATGCCTGTCAACTTTTTTACCATTCCAGTAAATGTCATATATTAGATCCTTTTGTTATAAATTTTTAATTTTAATGTACTAGTCGAAATAGGACAATTCAGCCTAAATTTGACCAGGTTGAATATAAGTCGAATGATAATCTAACCTATATCAATTGAGGTCAAATTTTTGGACGCATTTAGGATGATCATCTCAAATTCAGAAAGGATATTTGGCTAAAATTAGACCTAAATTGACCAATATTCAACATTAAAACTTAAGTTAAATTATAGTCTAATAACCATCTATTTATTTCCAAATTTATTTTAATTTTATTATCAAATTTATTAAAGTATTTATTAAATGCTTAATTATATTATTATTATTATTAGCATCTATCTAAATTACAAATAATTATTGCTAATTTACAATTTCAAAATCACATGATTTATGTATTTGTATTATATATTTATGAATCTTAATCTTTTGGAAATTCACTGAAACTATAAAAAAAGAAAAGAATGGTTAGTAACCATTCCATAATATTAAAAAAAAGCAAAAAAATCTAAGATTATACTTACGAATCTTGATTCTCTTTTTCTGTTCATCAGAACCTACACACCAAACCTATAAAAAAAAAAGAAAAGAATGGTTAGTAACCATTCCATAATATTAAAAAAAAGCAAAAAAATCTAAGATTATACTTACGAATCTTGATTCTCTTTTTCTGTTCATCAGAACCTACACACCAAACCTATAAAAAAAAAAGAAAAGAATGGTTATTAATAACCGTTCATAATAATATTAAAAAAAAATAAAAAATAAGCCAATATTCGTACTTACGAATCTTGGTTCCACTTTTTCCAAAGATTTTAAAATCTACAAAAAAAAAAGAACAGTTATTAGTAAACTGTTTATAATAATAAAAATAAAAATAAAAAATAAAAAAACTAAGATTTGTACTTACTTATGAATCTTTATCTTTGAGTTTTCATTTTTCAGAAGTCCATTAAACCTAAAAAATAAAATAAGAACAGTTATCAGTAACTGTTCATTAATATTATTATAAAAAAACAAAAAAAATAAAACTAAGATTCATATTTACGAATCTTGGTTTTTTCCGTTCTTCAGAAGATACTGACCTAAAAAAAAAGAAAAAGAATGGTTAGAAACTGTTCGTAATAATAAACAAAAATAAAGAAAATAAAGATTCATACTGAATCTTTAGTTTTTTTTCATTATTCAAAAAGATAGAAATCCACTCGAACTTATAAAAAAAATAAAAAGAACAGTTAGTAACCATTCTATAACATTAAAAAAAAAGATTTGTAAGTATATTACTTACAAATCTTAAAGGTTTTCCTTTTTTCATTTTTTGGAAGCCCACCTAAACCTATAAAAAAAAGAAACAGTTAGTAAACCATTCCAAAATGATAAAAAAAAATAAAAAAATATATATATAAAAATTCGTACTTATAAATCTTTAGATTTTCATTCTTCAGAAGCCATCCAAACCTAAAAAATAAAGAAAAGAACAGTTATTAGTAACTGTTCGTAATAAAAAAAAAACAAAAAAAATTTTTAAAGATTCGTAAAATCTAAAGTCTTTAAAATTACACGATCTTTGAGATTGTAAAAATCTTTAATTGTATTTTCAAAGTGCATTTGTTTTTTTTTTTTACAAGACCTTTTGCATGTTTAATTTGTGTAGTTTTAATTGATTCTTTATGAAGTTTCAATGGTCTACCTTTGCAATTTCTATTAATGCATTATTTTTAATTGAAGTCCAAAAAAATAAACTCAAAAACAGCAGTTCTTCTATCTGGTATTATAATCTAATAAAGTATATATATTAGAATACCTTCTTTCATAATTTTTTTAAATTTTTCAATATATAATAACTTACTTTGTATAGTTCAACAGAAGTATTAAATGGTGATTGAGCTGAAAAAACTTGATATTGTAAATTATTTTTAAAACAAATTAAGTATTAAGATTTTTCTTCTATATATTAATAAATAGAATATTGAATAGTACAGCTGTTATTAGCCTGATTCCAGGTAGTTTTAATAATATAATTATCAGATATAGGAAAATAATTAGGTGTTTCAATATAATTCATAGCCGATAGGTAGATACCTTCTTGAATAACATTATAAACAAATTTTTGGTTATCATAATATATTATTTCAAGTGAAATAGAATAATTTTCTTTTTTATAAAGTCTTTGCTGATTAGAATTTGACATTTAGAAAATAACAGTTTTTTTAATGTGTTAAAAAAAAATCAATATAATATAAAAAATTATACAATAGATCTACAAAAATGTGATAAGTGCAGTAATTAAAATTCAGTATGAGTCTCAATATCATATTTCTTTACTGCTATAAGAGAAAAATCAAGTAAAAAATTTTGTATTATTAGTGTTATTATAATGTCAGGTGATTTGACTATCATTATGATTGATTTACAAAATTTGGAATTATTTCAAAAATTTAGGGTTAGGATATAGATTAGTATATATGTGTGGTTCTTTTTCATCGGGAAATTTTTTAAGATGCAGAACTGTAGAGATCTGTAAAATTAGCAGATCTCCGCATTTTTTTTGTGAATTTATGTAGAAGTCTGCGATTTTGCAGATTTTCACTTTTTATTTTTAACAAAGTTATGCAATAATGATTTTTTATGTATGCATTTCTGCGAAAAGTCTGTGATTTTGCAGATTTCTGCTTTTTTTTAAGTGAAATTTATGCTGAAGTCTGCAATTTTGCAGATTTTTGCTTTTTTTTTCATTAAAATATCAGTTCAATCTGCAATTTTATCATAATTAACCCTAACTTGATTTAATACCTAAATGATTTTTTCTACAATACTCTTTAAAAAAAAAAACTTTACAAGACTTTAAAAAAATAATTTTTTCTACAACACTTATTACTAAAGAAAAAAAC